CTTTTCATTCGGAGTGAAGTCCAGAGGATTTGTATAGCGGTGAGAATTCTTCCTACTCTGACCCCCAGGGAGGGCAGTGCTGTTGACTCTCTGCACTGCTTTCAGCTCTAGTCTCCAGACCCACCGCTCCTGCTCTGCCACTAGGCCTGGGAAGGAGCCATTGACTTTTATAAAGATCCCGAGATGAAGCTGAGGATGGGGTAGGACGTAGGTAGTGTCTTTAGCCACCTCTGCTCAGGGAAGCAGCCAGCCTTTGGGGGAAGGTATGTATCAGCCACTTCACCCAGCTGCCAGTCCATAGCAGCAAGGATGAATGGCACCCGTGAAGATGAGTCATATCGCGTCAGAGGCAAAAGAGCTTTGTCTGGGGCTTTATGACACAGGGAGCCTCCAGGGATGGTGCGTATCTGTCTGTACCATCAGCATGAGCTGGCACAGCGTGAGGTTCTGATGCTCAGGATGTGTTTGTCTTGGCAGCTGGGATGACAGCAGCTCCGTCAGCAGTGGGATCAGCGACACCATAGACAACCTCAGCACTGATGACATCAACACCAGCTCCTCCATCAGCTCCTATGCCAACACACCTGCCTCTTCTCGCAAAAACCTGGATGTACAGGTAAGGAACAGGGCCTCTCCTCCAAAGGCCCCGGCAGCAGAGAGCTTTGGGCTGTGGGCCAAAGGGGCCATTTGGCATCAGCAGAATCCCCAGGTTCATGAGATGAGGCCCAGCCTCTTGCTTGCTGCCTGTGCTCTTGTCCTCCAACTGAGACCTTTGCCTGCCAGGAAAAGGGATCAGGCAGCAGGTCTCTGGAAATGGGAGTGGGGAGTCCCCATCACCATCATTGTGATGGCCTTGATAAAAGTACATTTCCTTCCTGGACCTCAGTTTCATAATTAAAAAAAAAAAAAATAGGGTGTTGGACTCAATTGGCCGTTCTTAACCTAGAGTGTTTGTCCCCTCTTTGCCACTGTGACCCACTACTGTCCACTAGCTCGTGTCTGATCCCTTGAGAGTAGTGGGGTAGGAACAAAGATTGAGCCCTAGATGGGAAGACTGGTCCATCGACCAGAGATTGGGAACTGTCAGTCCTTCTGACAATGTGTTTTATTTGGCGCATGGTATTATTTTTTTTTAAACTGGATTCCATGTCAAATTTTATAAATTGTGTTATTTTACATGAAAATGAGCTTCTCGCTTCTATAGAAAAAAATCGGGTCCCTCCCAGCCATGGGGTCCACCGCCTCAAGTTAACCCATGTGAAGGTCTGATCCAGACAGAGTCTCCCAGAGATACCTTGGGAGGGCAGAATCGACACTGCCCCATTCATTCACTCCCTTTCCTCCGCGTCCTTTCCTTTCTCAGTTGTTTCTCACTCTGTACGGATAGGTGCTGCTCTGGAAATCTCTTTGCTTTCAAAAGTATCCTTGAGGACAGAGCTAAAGAAAGGATGTCAGATTGTGGGAGTAATTCTGTCCCACAGAAGAGTCGGCATTGACTGCCTGATGAACTGTGTTAGATGTCGACTCCAGGATTGCCTGTGACTTCTTGAGTTTGCATTTTAACCAGAATTTCTAATTATTTTAAGGGAGTGAGGATGGGTTGTGGCGGTTATTAAGGGAAGGAAAAAAACACCCAAATGAAAGGGGCACAAAGATTTTGAAGGTGCTGATAATGTTCTATATCTTGATCTGAGTGGCAGTTATGTAAGTATATTAAATTTATAAAATTTATTCAGGCTATATACTTACAGTTGTATACTTCAGTACATGAATGTTGTTATACCTCAATAGGAAAGCTTATTAAGAAAAAACAAACTAAGCCATATTGCCTCAAAGTGTTTGGTCCCTGTCAAATCATTAATAAGACACAAGTTAGAAACATCCAGGGAGCCCATGTCCCTGCTACATACCATTTGCCTCGTGGACATTATTTTTTTCTGAGAATTATTCTCATTTCATAACATAAATAACAACCAGGCTTCCAGATGTCCTTAAGTGCTAAAGTGGGGAAGCAAGGAATTGATCACCAGGTCTCTGTATTCAGGGGCAGGCAGGATATTGGAGTTACTTCAGAGGGAGAAGGAGAGCAAGCAGGAGAGAGATCGAGAGATCAGGAAATTCTCTTTTGTTTACTTGCCAGGTAGAAACAGGCTGGCTCCTAAGATGCACAGTGAGCCAACAAAACACTATCTGGGAAGAATCTCCTTGCCTTTCCCTCCGCACAAAGTTGGAGTTGGAATCTTTTCTGCATTGATGCAGAATTAACATCTGGGATGTACAACCGGTTTCCTATCTGATACACTTGAATTTGGTTAATGCCCCCTCCTCTTTGACCAGCTCCTTGCTTTCATCTAGCAAATGTCACATCAGAAAAGGTTCAAGAATCCTACACAAATATGTCTTTTGATCAAGATCAAAAATTTAATTTCAAGGGACATAAAGGGTTTAATATGCATTGCGTTGTTTTCGCTGTCAAAGTACCTGAGTTTAAAATACTTGAATTGGAACTAAGCAGGTAGGGCTTGGAATAAAACAAATAAAACCAATGCAGATTTGCATCAATAGTTACTAAGATTCCTATTGAGGTGGTTTCTTTAAATGGTTATTTACTGGCATCCCTTCGTTCCTGTCCAGGGAGCATCTCCAAATATTTGAATCAGTGTAAATCATAGCCTCCTCCCCTGTACCACTCGAAGGAATGCTAAGAGTCATTCCTTCTCTCTGAGCAGCATCAGTCAGTAGAAAGACGTGCTGCCGTCCTTCCCAGCGCTCATTCAGGTTCCATCACATACTGATTTCTCCTGGACAACTGGGCAGGTTGAGGACAGGTCACCTGCCTAGGTTTTCATACTTGAAAAGCCTCTGAGAAACAGCTGAAAGAAAGTACATCTAAGTAACAGGAAAGTTATGGCCTAGAAAGCCTAAGAGACAGCCTTGTTTAGCTTATGGAAGGAGGAAGAGGCGCCTTTCGGTGGAGCAGTCTGTGGGAGATGAAAGTCTCCGCTGTCTGCAAGTGGCTGTTTTCCTCAGAGATGTTGAGGAGCACAGAGGGCACCCTTGGTGGGACACACGTGTCCAGATATCCAGCATCAGACATCTGTGCTCACTGCTCGTCAGCGGGCTGGGCAGACAGTTCTGCTTGAGATGTGACAGCCTCTTGACCAACTTTCTCCAGGAAAGTTGGTGAGCCCGCCCGTTTGGGCAGCCATATTTGGATGCCGTGTCAGTTGCAAGGTGTGTACTTTGAAGTCAGGATTGAGCTGCTCAGTCTGACATTCTAGGATAAGTTAACCTCTCCAGGCCTCTGCCTCCTCGTCCATAAAATTACAGTAATTAGACTTATCTCCAAGGGTGAGTGTGAGAGTGACATGGAAATACTTCATCTGAACATGCTCTCTTGGTACCTAATTCTTGGCAGTTGCTCAGCAGTTGCCTTCTTTCTTTCTTAATTTCTTCTCCATTACTTGTCCCTCTGCCTCCCTCCTCCATTCATGTCAGTAACTAAAAGTTGACTATGTTCTTAATATATTTTGTTTGTAGTTTCAAAGCATTCCGTCTTACATTTTGCAGTGTTTTGTTTTTAGGACAATGTGTTGGTGGTGGAGGACTTTAACAGATGCACGTCTACCCGCTTCACCCCCCTCAATATTCTATCTATCCATTCATATCCTTGGTCATTCAATATTTTCTCTTGGTTCTATGGAAGTTTCAATTCTAGGTACTGAGATACCAGGAGACACCTGTCAAGATTCCTCTTATTCTCATAGCCTGTGAAATTTTTAATCAAGTATACGGGGGGAGGAGAAAGATAATTCCATGTGAATTAATGTTTTGCTACTCAAGGAAATAAAGTTCTGGATTCTGTAGCAAGGACTGCTGTCCTGTGTGGCCTTGAGTGAGCCTGGAGCTCTCTGGACATTCTCTGAGTGTTGGTCCGAATGTAGGAATAGAGTTTGGCTGGGGACCGGATGGGTGCCCCTTCTGCCCACCTAGCACATAGCAAAGGAGAAGCAGCACGTGGTACTTGAATGCAAAGTCTGTCAGGCTCCAAGCCCATGTTCTTCCCCTCACATCATGCCATGTGGCCCCCACCTTATTGGTTCCCTCTCAGAAGACTGCCCTCCCTTCTGTGGTCCCCGAGGAACCTGGGCCCTCGGCAATGAACTCTCCAATCTTCCAGGCCTTCTTCCCTGTCCTATAGGGCTGTTTCCTCACCTTCCCCACCTTGGGTGCTGAATGAGTAAGTAGAGGCTGGGACTCGTTCATCTTTTGATTCCCAGTGGTGCCACCATGTGATCTAGCACGTGGCCCGGGAAGGGTTTATTAGGAGGCATGACCTCAAAGCCAGTAGTGTCCCAGGTCAGAGTAGCGTTGGGAAGGCTGCCGCCCCAGTCCCCATTGTTGGGGTGTGATGGTGGGGTGATTGTTCTTTTCAGAGGGGGGATTCAAGCCACAGTCCTGGGCCAAGATCATGTGCACTCTCCCTGCCATTGGTGGAATTGGAGTTTAGAGGGAGGTCGACCCCAAGGATAGGCTGAAGCTATTCCAGGGTCGGAGCTGGGCAACAACCAGCCAGCCAGTATGGAAGGAGTGTCTCTGGGTCTATGAAGGGATTGTGTTAGGTGCTGCTGGGCATGCAGAAATGTCTCATGTCCTTGGACTTATCCCCCAGGAAGGCAGCATCAGGGGTCAGTGCATCACCACTTCCTCACTGTGTGAGCCTGGACACTTTTTTTCCTCTCTGTACCTCGGTTTTCTCATGTAAAATTGAGACTATGGATTGTAACTTCCTCAGAGATTTTTGGTGAGGATTAAATGACACGTGCAAAGCACTTTAGCCCAGTGCCTAGCGCATACTAAGTGCTTAAGACATTTTAGCTGTTACTGCTGCTACTATGAGAACTACAATTTGATGGAGAGAAATAAGGTATAGGAATATTAAGAAAACTAATGCAGTCACCCAGGATCTGGTATGCGCTAAGTTCTTAATGCCTCTTAGAGTGTATTAGAAAGCGTTAGAATGTACTTGAACATAAGCTCCAAGAGATTAATGATGTACTTGTTCATTGTAGTATTCCCAGTGCCCAAACGTTTTCCTGGCAGCCAGTGGCACCCAGTACATATTTGTTGGGTGAATGCTTCTAAAACCAAGCTCTTTCCTGCCTGAGGGCCTGTGCAGTGTTCTTCCCGCTGCCTGGCACGCTCTGCCCTAAACTCTATTCTTAGTAAGTTTCTTCTCATTTTTTACAGCACCACTTCAGAAAATCCTTACTGACCACTGCCCTCCGCCCCACACGTCCATCATCGTCATAAATTATGTCAGTGCATGTATTTATTTCAGACACTTTGTCTTTTTCTTTATAACATTCTTGGTAATTCACAATTACTCATTTATTTATATTTATTTATCCAATCTCTGCCTCTTTGACTGGATCATATGCTCCAGGAGGGATAGGAATCAGTCTGACCCCCAGAGCCTCAGACCCTCCACAGTGCCTGGCAAACATCAGGCATTGAGGAAAGTCTGGTTGAATGAACATAGTGGAAGTGTTTAGGGGAAGGACCATGATACAGAATGGGTGACTTTTGTTTCCAGTCATCTGTAAAACTGAGACAAAGATAACACTATTTACCTACTTACCCTATTTGACCAGATGATGGCCGGGACCAGTGAGATCATTTGATTAAGGTATGCTGTAGCTTGAAAAGTACGTGTTCATGTGTTCACTCATTTACTCACCAAGCCCTGATTGAGCCTCCCGCTCTGTGCTCACATGCGGAAAGGCCACTGTGTGTGTCTCTCGGCACAGCTGAATGATGAGTTCCCACAGTCGGGAGTGTTTTTGTCCTCCTCACATCTCTGGGGCCTACTACCGGCCAGGAACTCAGTATGTGTTTGGGAAATGGCCAAACAAGTGGAAGCAATTGTGAAGTGGCTATACGGATGAGCGAAACTCTTAAGGGGTGAAGGAGTTGAGGGCAGGCGAAGAGGCCATGGTGGTAATAGAGCGATGCTTGAACTTGGGCTGCTTGTCTGTATTTAGTTTGTCCCATTCAGCCAGTATATTCTGTGGAGGAAGATATTCGTACTACTCTTGGATGACAGGCGTTAGGCCAGATTCTGGCCAGATGATCATTTTGATTTTCTACCTTGCTGATGTACCCACTCTAGGTAGTTAAGTATAGCAAGCATGGTCCTTGTATCTTAGTGTAGCTCCCCTAACGTTCTGCTGACCTCTCTCTTCCCCATTCTCTGTCCGTCATCTCCTTGGACTGGCCCCACCTTGTCGGGAGGCCCCCAAGGCATTCTGGTTAGCTTTCTGCCTTTCCACTGCAGCAAATCATTAACATCACACTTCTGTCCCCTCCTGAGTTCCACGGCCAGCAGGTCAAGGCTCTTCCAAAGAAAGCTGGCTAATTATATCCCTTGTCTGAACAAAATCCCACAAGAAGAACAAACCAGTGGCATATAAATGGAGCTGGGGTGGGAGCGGCACCCACTGGCTTTTTAGCATTGTGGGGAAGTGGCTTTTGAGGATGTGTTTCATCTCAGCCCCCTCTCTCCCTGATTTGAGTGGAACTAGCAGCCGCTCTCGCCTGCTCACTCACTCGGTGTGTTAGACTGTGGCGCTGTGCTAGATCCAGAGATCTTGCTGCCAGTGGAGTGATAGGGAGACAGCAGAACAAAGGGAAACGGGCCTGGAGGCCGAACGCTGGATATGGGGTCAGGCCGCCCAAGTTAGAGGAGGCTTGTCGCCAAGTGGCAGAGAGTTGGTAGCTGAATTCTCGTCGTTATCTCCATCTGCTCATGGTTCAATATGGGGTTCTTTCCCTCTTTTTTTTCTGGCCTCTTTTACTCTCCTCCCTCACTCCTTTCAAGGACATATTTATAGTCTTTACTTTCTTTAGGACCCCTCCCCCCAAAAGAAAAAGAAATCGGGCTTTCCAGCAAGATAACCCAAGTACGAAGGCCTGAACATTTTAAAGTTGTTAGTTATTATTTTTCCCTAACCTGGGATTTGGGAGAGACTAACTCAGGGTCTCATCCACAGACCGACGCAGAGAAGCACTCGCAGGTGGAGAGGAATTCCCTGTGGTCTGGTGAAGATGTCAAGAAATCCGACGGCGGATCAGACAGCGGCATAAAGATGGAGCCGGGGTCGAAGTGGCGGCGGAACCCCTCGGACGTGTCTGACGAGTCTGACAAAAGCACATCAGGCAAGAAGAACTCTGTCATCTCCCAGACAGGCTCGTGGCGGCGAGGCATGACAGCTCAGGTGGGCATCACCATGCCGAGGACAAAGCCGGCCGCCCCAGCCGGCTCGCTCAAGACCCCAGGAACCGGTGAGTGAGACGCAAATGCTATCTTGTATCCACAGCTGCAGTATCCAAAACTGCAGTCACCCTAGCAAGGATTTGGCATTGTTTTTAAGTCCCTATAAATGCTCTGGTATTTCTTCTTAGGGTGTAGACTCTGCTAGTAACCAGCTTTCCAAAAGGTTCACATCTTTACCTTTTTCCAAGTGGAAATACGTAAGCATGAGAACTTTTAAACTCTGAAAACTGTCCCAGTGCGGAGGCATATCGAATTGGTATGACCACGTGCTGGGTAAGAGCTAACATACCCACTGCAGGCTATTCAAGGTCATATGTTTACGAGCTGTCGGTATAGTGAGTTGATGTTTTCCATGATTTAAGGATGTGTGTAAACGGGGCAGTGTTTTTGCTGGAAGGCGGGGGTACCTCCTGAAAATGTTAGGGACAGCTTTGTGATGGAGAGAGGCAAAAAGGTCAGAAAAAGCAGGATCTCTTCCCCAGACACATCAGTAATTGGCTGGTGTTGCTTTTTTCTGGGTAAATTTAGACTGCTTTGCACATGAGTAAAATCATTGACATCTCCTAAAAGGCTCATGGTGATGGTAGTAGATGAGATTATCTTTATAAAAAGCTCTGTTCTCTGATTCCCAAGGATACCACTCTCCCCAAGGAGAAAGTGAACCAGTTCTTTAAAGGAGGGGAAAATTTTAAACAGACTGAGCTAGATGAGCTGGCTTCTTGGTTTGCAGGCTAACCTTACTGATATCTCTCTTAGGAAAAACTGATGATGCAAAGGTTTCTGAGAAAGGAAGGCTGTCTCCCAAAGCCTCCCAGGTGAAGCGCTCGCCATCAGACGCAGGTCGCAGCAGTGGTGACGAATCCAAAAAGCCCCTCCCCAGCAGCTCCAGGACGCCCACTGTCAATGCCAACAGCTTTGGGTTCAAGAAGCAGAGTGGCTCAGCCGCTGGTTTGGCCATGATCACAGCCAGCGGGGCCACTGTCACCAGCAGGTCAGCCACACTGGGCAAAATCCCCAAATCATCTGCACTTGTCGGTCGGTCTACTGGTCGGAAAACGAGCATGGATGGAGCTCAGAATCAGGATGACGGGTATCTGTCTCTCAGCTCCCGGACAAATTTGCAGTACCGGAGTTTGCCACGGCCCAGTAAGTCCACCAGTCGGAACGGGGCTGGGAACAGGTCTAGTACTAGCAGCATAGATTCCAACATCAGCAGCAAGTCAGCAGGCCTGCCGGTGCCCAAGCTGAGGGAGCCTTCCAAAACGGCCCTAGGCAGCTCTCTGCCAGGTCTGGTCAACCAGACGGATAAGGAGAAAGGCATCTCATCAGACAACGAGAGTGTGGCTTCCTGTAACTCAGTGAAAGTGAACCCGGCAGCCCAGCCTGTGTCCAGTGCGGCTCAGGCCACTCTCCAGCCAGGGGCCAAGTACCCTGATGTGGCCTCTCCCACGCTCCGCAGGTGAGTGAGTAAATGGCACTGAGCAGAACTGGAATACAGGGAATGGTGTCCTAGATTAATAATTTTCTGTTCCTTAGTTAAAGCAGGCTCTATCTTCTTCATTTCAGTCCTAAGAGAAAGCTGTTTGGTCAGATGCTGCCAGCAATTTTGCCGTCAACTGTTTTCCCATGTTGGGATGAAAATCCTAAGCCTCTGGAATCAATCATCCTGGGTTTAAATCTTAATTAGCCAGCGTGTAACCTTTCTTAACATGTTCTGCCTCAGTTTTCTCATCTGTAAAATGGGGATGCTGATACCTACCTGAGAGTTCTTGTGAAGATTATATAGCCATATCTTGCTCCTTGTTAAGTACTCATACTTGGCTACCATCCAGGATTAGATCTCAGATCTGGATGAGTAGCTCAGGGGAAGCAGACTATTTTTTTTCTTATCTTGTTAATTCTGTGGCTGAGGTTCCTCATCATTATGCTAGACAGTGATCTTGGCCAGATCCTTTTCTCAAATAGTCCAGTGTTCCCTGCATGCTTTTTCATAACTGCGTGCATAATTCCAAATGAGTCTCTGAAATTTAAGCTTCTGTAAAAAATGATTCTTAAAGTAGACGTGTTTCTGAAAACGAAAAATTAATTTCCTATTACCTTAAAAAGGCGTTTTCCCACCTTTCCACACTGGATGGAAATTTTTACATGAAAATATTATTATTCACTGTTTTTTTTTTTTTAAGTTTCTTTTAAGTTTATACAACTTTAGCTTTTCACATTATCTCATTATAATATCCACTGGACCATCTCAAACTCCAAATGCATAGGACAGAGCTCATCCTACCTTCCCAGGAAGTTCCTTATCATAGGAAAAAATAAGTTTCAAGGATAGAAAACCAAACAGTGGAAAAATAAAAATGATGTGCACATGTACCTATTTGGGGTTGAATAGGAATGTTTGAAGAGACTTCAGAAAAAGCATTCCACATGAAAAGTATAATGAAACAGTTCACTGTTCTTTGTCTAGACTTGATTATTAGAATTTTAGTAATGATTATTTTTCAGGGGAAGGTCCTATCGGACTGCTCTTTGTTGTTTTAACAGATTGCCTTGTAAATGAAAATTTTCTCAGTTTCTTGCCTCAAGTATTATATGTAATATTCACTCTTTGGTATTATAAATTTCCTTCAGTAACTACAAAGGTATTTTACTAGACCCTTAGGCTAGTGTAATAGAATACTTGAAAATGCATGCAGCTTCTTAGGTTGTTCTACATTGAATACTTTTTAGCCAATTCCTGGTAATTACATTTTTCCTAAATTGTTAAGATGTTCTCAGTGCTTTTGTTGTGCATGAGCATGGAAAAGATAAATCTTAGGTGAAGTGTGATCCGGAGGATTAACAGACAAAAGATTGGGCTTTTCTGTGCAGTTTACACATAGCAAGATAGGGCAATGAGTAAAAGTGAAGAAGATAGATCAGGATTTCTAACAATTGGAAGTGCTTGGCACTGGAGCGAGTTACCCCTTGAAGTAATGAGATCTCCATTACTGGAAGTGTGTAAGCATTCTAAAGCCAAGATTCTACAATAGGATATTTCATTTTCTAATCATCACCAGGCAAAAGGTTTCTTATCTGTCACTAGATATTGTACCAAGGATTGATGACGTGGTTGTTTGTTTTTACAATAATTGGGATTTGTAAGGACTCTTTGGAGAGAACAGAGATCAAACCCACACCACTGAGTATCTAGAGGAGAGGCAACCTATCATTCTATGCAGTCGTCCATCATTTTGCAGAGACACAGATTCCAGGAGAGTTTTAGTGAATGGAATTAATTGCCTTACTAGATCTGTATCTCCCCCTGATGTTTAGACAGTTCTACCATTCTACCGGTATCTTTCTGACAATGGAAAAGGGAGACGTTTGTGCCATTCCCTGTATTCTGACGGCACGTTTTTGGCTAAATAGGGAGCACGGTATGGAATGGCATCTCTGTGTATCTATCACATAGACGCAGTTCACACCGTGTGTCTGCTCTAATGTATTGTAAACCCAGCAAGGTTTCTGTGTACATCAGTGGGCAGCACTAGCACACTCTGGCCCTCCCATCTTTCAGGCTGGGCTTTCATTAGAGGGTAAACCTGTGAAGATAGTTTTCCCCAGGTGCTATCCAGATCTAGACTCAGGTTCTTAATTCTACATGTCGTGCTTACAGATCAAGGTAATGGGATCTTTGGAGTTGAACTCTCATAACCCAGGTGCCTGCTTTGTGCCTGGGGTCACGGATACAAGGATGATATAGACAGCTCTTTTCCCTCTAGATGTTTCTTGGGCCAGGGCAATTTTCTAGTTAATCTGTTTATGGAAAGAAAGGGAAGCAAGATCTTGGACCAGCATGGATAGTCCTGTAGAAAAATTTTCCCCCTTTGATCTTTGGCTCAAATAGAGCCAGGTCTCAAATGCAGCCTAGAATTGGGAGCTAGAGCCTTGTGGCGTGCCAGCTTCCCAGCCCACTATCTGTCGGCCCGTCCCAGTGGGAATGACTGTGCCTCCCCTCAGGGACTCACACCGCTTTTACACCTGTGCCCCACCTTCCTGTGACAGCTCAGAGCCCCTTGGCTCTGGTTGTTCATCTGGCACAACCCTTTGTCTCTTCACAGACTCTTTGGTGGGAAGCCTACCAAGCAAGTACCCATCGCCACAGCCGAAAACATGAAAAATTCGGTGGTCATCTCCAATCCTCATGCCACCTTGACCCAGCAAGGTAACCTAGAGTCCCCCTCAGGCAGCGGCGTCCTGAGCAGTGGGAGCAGCAGCCCTCTCTACAGTAAGAATGTGGACATCAACCAGTCTCCACCAGCCTCCAGCCCCAGCTCAGCCCACTCGGGCCCCTCCAACAGCCTCACCTGGGGCACCAATGCCAGCAGCTCCTCAGCAGTTAGCAAGGATGGCCTGGCTTTCCAGTCTGTCAGCAGCCTCCACACCAGCTGTGAGTCCATTGACATCTCCCTCAGCAGTGGAGGGGGGCTGAGTCACAATTCCTCCACGGGCCTCGTCGCCTCCTCTAAGGACGACTCCCTGACTCCCTTTGTCAGAACCAACAGTGTGAAGACCACACTGTCAGAAAGGTTGGTGCTGTGCGTTTGGCTGCCCGTATCTCTCAGAAAGACACCCTTCCAAGAGTCAAAGGATTATCTTAGGGATCCCAAATGTTAATTCAGCTTTGCCTGAGAGATTTCTCTCTTCCTAATCACTGCTATCTTTCCATGGGGAAACCAGTTTGGGATGGAATTAAGCTCAGCTCTGCTTCCTGTTATCTTTTTCATCGTGGTTATTCTCAGTGCTTGGAGCTGCTGGAAATATCTTGGGGGCAGATTTAATGCTTTCATTTGAAATAGCATTCCACCTTTGAAACCCTTCCATTTTACTGTTCGTTCCACTGCTTCTTTGCCCTCCCCTTGTAACTGTACAAGCAGAGTAGGTGGCCGGCTGCAGCCATGGGGTATGCGGTAGGATGTCCTTTAGGCAGCTGGGTCAGCTTGGTGGTCGTCATGGCAAACACCCTCTTACTGGAGGGCTGCTGGCCAGTGATAGGAAATCAAGAAACCAGAGCTTCCTCAGAGCTCTGGATTTCACTGCAGTAGTGATGTGCTCAGTTTTTCCATGTAGGGGAGAAAGAAAGTTAGGATCAGCACTGGGAATGTCAAAAATGTGCTAATCATTGTATATAACAACCCTGTCTCCCTTTCTTCCAATCTAATGTTCCTTCTCTTGTTTTCTACCTGCCTGGATTTCTAGCCCTCTCTCTTCCCCTGCCGCTAGCCCTAAGTTCTGCAGAAGTACTTTGCCCAGGAAACAGGACAGGTAATGCCATGGTAGGCTGGGGACCCCGCCGAGCCTCTAGGTTTCTCTACCCATCTGTGTCAAGCCAGATGTTTTGTGTGAGGCTGTTGGCCTGAGGCTTCCGCTTGTGTTCGTGGCTCCGGTGTAATCTGTGATCCCCCCGGACATGCCAGTGAGGGTCTGCTCCGCTGTCCACTGAAGCCCTGGGAGAGGTGGGATTGGGCTGACCCCTCCCTTGCCAGCTTGGGAAGGAACCGCAAACCCGCCACTTGAACTGGGGCAGCAGAAGCTCTCACTTGCATCTCAGCCTTCCTGTGGCATGCTCCTGCTTCCCACCCTTCCCCCTCCTCCTTCTGCTCCCCCTTCAAGCCCAGAAATGGTTTGCCACCCACTGTGCAGCTTGACCCTCACCTTTGTCTCCCCCACTTTCCCCACTCCCCACGTAGCTGGCTCTTCTCCATTGCAAAATGCTTTGCTGCAGTTTGGTTCCTCATGTTCTGCAGGCTGCTGTGTTCTGTGTGCCCATTTCCTGTAATGATAATGAAAAAGAATATGTAGAGTGTTGAGACCTTATAAATGAAGAGGCTTGTTTGCCCCTAGCTGCCCTGTGGGTGGGCCTCAGAGATGGATATTGACCTTAAATTTGTGCGGGAGCTATGGCTTGGCCAAACATAGCAAACAGATGTTGTTTCATGCTAGAAAAAAAAAATTAATGAAAACCCTCTTCACCCCATCGACAGCAAAAACTTTGTTTTTGTCAGATTCACAGACCAAGCCTTTAAAACCCTTGTTCTTTGGAAATCCAAATGCCTTGCCTTTATCACCCAGCAAGTTGTAACATGCCCCGACTCGGGCCTGGGGCTCAGCTCCTAGCTACGTCCAGTAAGGACGGCAGAAACTAAAAGAGACCTGGAATTCACTTATGAATTCCAAATATGCAGACTGCAGGCCTCTTGAACCCCTCCAACAAGTCCCTTCTCTCACTTGAAGTCATCGCCAGTGGCACTGGGGGTGGGCCACAGTTAGCAGTGGTGCAGAGAAGCTGGCTTCTCCCTCTCCGAGAAGCAGTGGTAATAGTGCAGAAATGGGCGACTGGGCGGCAGAAGGCACAGGCTCTGCTTCAAGGTTGGGCAGCCCCTGAGTTTTGCTTTGCACCTGTGGAAAAGAAGGAACGGTTGGGGTTGAGTGGCTCAGGCCTCCTGGTGACTTGGGGTAAAGTATGCACTGGTGTCAGCGTAGACCGAGGCTTGGGTTCCTCGGCTCCCCGTGGGTGTGTTGCATGCCCAGCTGGGTGAGGGAGCACTCCTGCCAAAGTGAATCTCTTTCTCCAGATCTCTTCAGTCCCTTCTTAGCCTTTCCCTCCTCACATTGCCTGCTTTTTCTGTGCTTCTCTGAAGTTCTCATTTTTGTTTTAACTTTCCTACAGTGACCAGCACCTTGATAGGAACACTTTGCCTAAGAAAGGACTCAGGTATCTGTGTTTCCTCCTTGCATCCATGCCATCTGGTGTGGCTTTGGGGCTTGGCTGGTGAGGGTTCGGGCTGGGCTGGGGTCTCTGCTTTGGCCACTGCAGTAGGACCTCGGACGACTGCTCCTCTTACACCCTCTCATTCTCATCTCTCCATTTGTTGGCTTATTTGCTTGACAGAGGCTGTGCTTTTTTCAGGCTTAATGTGGTAAAACCATGTCATGAACTACATACCCGGGCAAGCCCAGGAATCAGTTAGTTAACTGCTACTTCTGGGGCCAGTGGGTGTAATCGGTGAGCACTTCACCATGGCCATTCTGTTCACGGGCTGTCCTTTAAGAGAAAGGACATGACTTGTAGCATGTTGATTTGTTAGCCAGGACAAGAGCAAAGGAGGGAGGAACTGTTTTCCCCAAATTCGAAAATATTTAACTTTTTAGCCCATAGAAAATTGCTAAGGACCGATACTTTGCACTTGTCTAAATAATCAAAAATCTAGTCGGTTCTCAATGCCTAACAATACATGGATATGATTAGTTTTTGGTGAAAAGAAATAAAAGACTACGAGGAAGCAACATCCTTTCATTCATTGTAAGTTGTGTCTGGGGCTCATTTTTTGTGCTAGTCCTGGTAAAACAAGATGCTATAAGTCACCATTGCTCACACCATCTACTTCACTTTGCCAGTCAGCGGAACTTCAGTTCTGACGCCTTGCCCCATGGTCTTAGTGTCTTATGTTTGCAGCTGTCATCCCCTGCTCTCTGAACACCTTCTTTGTAGCATCAGCTTCACTCAGCACTAAGCATCGTGTGCTTTTGCAAGAAATGGAACTTGGGATGAAATGTTTCAATGCTGTCATGTGTGTCTGTAGTTAATAACTTGTATCTCTTAAAGCTGAGAGCATTGTGAACGGTAATGTGAGGTAGGTATTAATGCTTCCTAAAAATAGGAGATTCGAGTAAAGCCAGTTCTAAGAATCTAAGAATAAAGGTATTTTAAAAAATTCCCCTACAGCCATCCTGTGGGAGGAAGTTCAGCAGTGTGGCCTTAGAAGGGGGAGCTTGCAAGGCTTTTTGTACTTAACAGTTTTCATCATGCATATAAGGGCTGATAATTAGTGGCCATGCTAGATGCTTAAATGATGGTCACTTTTAATATGAGTACGACATTGATGGCCCACTGCTGCCCTAAGAGGAAGCTAATCTCTAGATATATTAACATTTCATAATGCTGTATATATTCCTTGAGCAGATTGATCCTATGAAAATCATGTAGCTCTGGCTTTTTAAAATTGGTTTTTAAGACTTAGGGATATGTGACAGGCTGTCTTCAAGCAGTTGACGTGACCTAGAAAGTTACATTCCATCAACTAGAGCAAAAACATTAAGATACATTTTTACATTCGGTCTCACTCTCCCTTTCTAGCTCATTCCCTCCACACGCACACATCCAATACCAACATACCAACAACTCTTTTTTTAAGTCAAAAGAATCCCACTATTTACATAACACCCCATGGTAATTTGTTTATAAGTCCAGGGGTTCTCTGGCCACTTGGGCGCTTTAGAAATTCGAGATGCTGCCTGTGGGCATAATGAGAAGAGCAATGATTTTGAAATCAGACAAAATAGATAGAAATCTTGGCACGTGACTCAAGGTAGGACCTCACCAAGGCTTCAGCAAGATAACATCCATGAAGGCACTTAGCTCATTGAAGATATTCAGTACGTTTTTACTAAATACATTTCAGAATAAATGAGGAGATGGGCCACCTGGCTTCTGAAGACCCTCCCCTGTGTGGAAACCCAATGATTTGGGGTTCTTTTTATGAAGACTTGCTTATGCTAGATTGCAGCAACCACTGGAAGCGTCTGTGTCCTCACACCTTCCTTTTCCTGTCTGGTTTCTGATATGCTGTGATTCGTGGCCACTTGTATGTGCTCTAGAATGCAGATGTCATGAGTTCTCCTCAAAGCTCTAATAGCAGCTTGTTTTGTTGCTTCAGTCCTGTCAAGGTGGGGGCTTTGGCATGACACTCATGAATCAACATGTTACAGATACGCCCAGTGACGGCTTTTTTGAGCATTTACCAGTCTTGTTCCCTTTTATGTATTCCCTCCAAACTGAAAGGAATTGCAAATTTCCCCAAAGGCGGCCACGTAGCAAAAAAGATTTTGAGAAACTTCTTAAGTTTCGGGATGTGTAGTGATCTGATTTTTTTTTTAATATCGTCTTCTGATATATGTTCATCATCAGCTCCACGGAGTTCATTTTCATAAGTGTTGTTTGTAGATAATCCCAGCTTGATTTCCGTCTGTCCAGGTATACTCCCACTTCCCAGCTTCGCACCCAGGAAGACGCAAAAGAATGGTTACGGTCCCACTCTGCGGGAGGCCTGCAGGACACCGCTGCCAATTCCCCCTTTTCCTCTGGCTCCAGTGTGACTTCTCCCTCTGGAACAAGATTCAACTTTTCCCAGCTTGGTGAGTAGCCTTCTGTCATTAGCTGTGTGGATCCACTCCATGGGGAAGAGGTTAGCTTATATTTTGAAAGAGACGTGGTCTCATCACTCTGAAGTATCTGGTCAGTATCTGATCGGCCTTTAGCAACGTAGTTCGATTATAGGAGATAGATAGCGAAAGAACTAGAGAAAAGTTTTTGGTATTCTAATCAGTAATTTTCTTTTCGTGATTTGTATTGGTAGGGTTATAGCAAAGAGCAAACTATCCCATTTTTGAGAAGAATGTATTCTATTTCTAAGACCTCTGAAGAAGTAGGTTTTACAGCACATCCCATGTTTGGTCATCCTCATTGCCTTATTAAGCTAGAAATAAAAACCAGGTTTTGATTGAACAAGTGCTCTTGGAACTGCCTCCCATTGACATAATGCTTTGACCGGCACCGTGGGGGGAAGGAAAGGAATTTGTAACATGGTCCCTGCTGACATGTCAATAGATTCTTTTTTTTTTTTTTAATTAAATTTCAGCTTTATTGAGGTATAATTGACATATAAAATTGTAAGATCAGTGGATTCTTTTTTTAGAGAGACAAACACAGCCAGGCAGACTCATAAATAGAGTAAACGAGAACAATCCAAAACTTTATAGGAAACCATTTGAAAACTACATATGATCAGATAGCAAGTATTCTATACAGATAGAAAAAGGAAAGATCAGTCCTGGCTGGAATTACAGGAGAAGGTTACATGAAGGTGGCAGGATGGGAACTGAGCCTTGAAAGACCGATGGGCAGTTGCGGGGGTGGGAGCTGGGGGCGAATCTTTTCCAGTCTCATCTCGTTCCTCAGAGAGGCAGCTTTTCTGAATATGGTAAATAATAAACTCAGAGTCTTTAAGGATAGGTGTGGCTTGTAATCAAGTAGGGCTTAACTCTTCATTTTCAGTTAACTAAAGGAATCCTTCTGAAATATCGTGCATTACTAGTAAGAAAGCTAGTTTCACTGAGGTAAATGTGCCCCTTTTGCACTGAAGTTCTTTAAGCATCATTATTCAGGGTTCCCTCTCTGAGGCAATGCGACCTGTGTGCATATTGTTCTTTCCCAGCCGTAACTCTTTGAGGCAAAAGTTTCTTGTCATGCACAAATGCTTCCCATCTGATCAAAAGCCTGGTTAGACTATTTTGGGCTTTTGGCTTTAGAGAGAATTGTTCCAGATGAGCCCAGGGAGTAATTAGCTCATGCCTGGAAGGTGACACTAGCTTGTCTGAACGTGCCAAGTTGGAAAGCTGAGGCCCAGAGCCTTGCTTTGGAACCGACCCACCTTTCCTCCCTTATTTTTAGCTCTCAGCGTGTAACTCAAATGCTGATGTGACTACCTTTTAGAAAATAGACAAGGGAGAGAAGTTGGCAGGGACGGATATGACTGATAACGAGCGATCTCCTCTTCGTCCCCATCCAGGATTTAAACAGAGACACGAATTTCCAGCCTTTTGATTCCATTCCTTTCGTTCCAGCGAGTCCCACCACTGTCACCCAGATGAGCTTGTCCAACCCGACCATGCTGAGGACCCACAGCCTCTCCAATGCTGATGGGCAGTATGACCCATACACTGACAGCCGCTTCCGGAATAGCTCCATGTCCCTGGATGAGAAGAGCAGAACCATGAGCCGATCAGGCTCATTCCGGGATGGGTTTGAAGAAGGTAAGCAAGGAGACTCACCGTCTCCCAGGTGAGGCAGCGTGGTTAATGCTCCTCTATGCCGGGTCCACTTCGTTGACCTGAAAGCCCACCTGTAAGTGCTTCCAACGCTCTCACTTACTCTGGGGGTCGGGTTTGGGAACTCTGAATAGAAGGAAGGGTCTGACTCTTAATTAACCTCACAGGGCTTTAGGGAAAAGGCTGCTGGAAAACACTGGTGAACCTTATTGCTGACTGAGTTCTTCTCTAGGCTTCCTTCTCCTGGATGTGGGCCATAGCTTCTTGGCACGTACCTCCATCTTGAGGTTCAGCCCCTGGCTCACCAGCTCGGCAAAGCAAGTTCCTGGAGAGTTCATTTCGCTGTGCTGACGTACCCGTGTGGCTCTGGGGGGCTGTGGGCAGCCGTGCCTCTTTGTTCCGCTCCAGAATTTCCTGCTTCTCTATTCAAACATCAGTTTTTTAAGTTTGTTGCATTCAGTGATGCCCTTTTCTTTCTTTGCTCACTAATTGTGAATATTTGGGGTTGGTTTTTTATGTTTTGTTCATTTTAATCAGAATTTTGGGAGGAAAAATACTGTGGGCAGTTTGCCAGCCACCCTCCTAACTCGGTTCATTTCTCTTTCCCAAAATTCAGTCAACAAGTGAGGTAGGGGAGCAGGCAGTCAAAATGTTGTGGAGGGACATCACCCACTCCCCCAAAAGCTTTCCAGGTGGGACTGCTAGGGTATTGGAGGCAGCACGCATTGACTAATGAATGGTTATAAGTTTGTATTAAGACCTCCAGCGTTTGAATTCCAGTTTCACAGCTACTTAAGTATGTGATCTTGGGTGATTACTTCACCTCTCCGTGCCTCTGTTTTTTTTCCACTGGTAAAATGGAAGTGATAGTACCCAGCTCATGGAATTATGAGAATTAAATGAGATAATATATGTAAATATTAACCCAATAACGTTGTTACATGTTATAGCCTGTAAACTCGGCTTCAGCATCTGTGTCCTGGCAGCTGGAAGTCCCCAGCCAGAGGATGGAGCCCAAGCTGAGGGCTGTATCTCTAGTCATGCCCCGCACCTCACACTTTTTTTCTTTTGCCAGCAACAGAACAGAATGTGGGAGGAGAGTCATAGGTGTCTGTGAGAGTTAGGCAATGTGCCCAGCATCCTCCTCGTAGGAAAGAACAAATCTCTGATTGTTTCAGAAATCCCTAAACAGGTCAAGAGGGAGAGAAATGCAGAATATGGGCTTCTGCTTTGCCTAGTGTACTTTTTTTTTTACAGAAGTTTTAAAAGGTTTAGTTACAGAGCAGTTGCCCCCCGGTTGATCTCTTTAGTGACTTAATTCTCTCCACCCGATTTCTGTATCATTTGTGTCCAGTGACATTCAGTGAGCAGATGCAAGTCTGTAAATCCATATATGGGAACCTGCTGGGTTAGGATTAAGGAAGGGTGGAGCCCGAATGACTGAGAGCATTTCCCTGGATTTAAGAGCTAGAAATTAGTGCTATTACTACTCAGAGCAGTAATACTGGAGGATACGTTGACCCTGAGGTGAAGGAGTAGGCAATTTGTCTTGAACTCTTTTTGGTAGTCAGGGTGCTAGCCAAGCATGGCCACAGAGCATTTCCCAGGCCTCCCGGTGACGACGTGCATCTGGAGTGTGTCCTGTGCCATATTCATCTCTGTCATGTGTGTACCTGAGTGAACTGTGTGCAGTACTGAAACTTGTCCAAACAAGCACACTTCGCTTCATAAAGGTCCAGGAGCATTACAGTATCCTCATCAAATAGCTTTTATTTATTCCATCTGGAATCAAGCTGTCAGGCAGCACAACTGTGGAATATCTGGGATGTCGGAGTGACATCGATCAAAAGTGCTTGCCCACAAGCGGTGTCTAGACTTTTGTAAACCCTAATGATTCATGATGACGTGGAACTGAAGCGCAGAGGTAAAAATCAAATTTCGGGGGAAGGGAGTAAGGACGGCTGTCAATAAACACATAACAGTTTGGTCTTTTGGGAAATTTGGCACCAGATTGATTTTATTTCTTCCAGGGCTATTGCATTACAAAAACAAAATAGGACTTGTGCGATTAGGTGTTGTTCATTCCTTTGGGTAAGGACTTTTTCCCCCCTTCTGAATTTATAAACAATATTCCAGAAACATTTGGGAAAAAAATTTCACATCTCATGTCATCTGATGTTTGGACCAAAGAGAACCTCCTTATACGAATCAGTCAGGTATATCACATGGCAGAAAGCAGGATAGAAATTTAAGAGGAATTAACACAAATACTTTTGTAAGGTTTTGTGGAATTAAATTTCACACTTTCTATTTTGAAGGAAGCAGGAATCATAAACATGTAGATTAAATACAAGCATGGCCCACATGCAACCTTTCAGAGTTAGTTCAGGTAAATTAATTTCCATCAGATGCATTATACATTCTTAAAGTCAACTTTAATAGCATACATTTAAAGAGATGCTTGAGACATCTTTTAAATGGATGTCTTTGGCAGGGGTGGGGGGTTGGGGGTGAAGTGGGAATTCAGTGACTCGACTAATCTTCTCTAAAGAACTCATGCAGTCTAAATCAGTTCATATGAAATCCAAAGGAGCAGAGCAGCTTTTAATAATGAAATTTTGTATTGCAGCTCACTGGTGTTTCTCGCCCCCGAGTTGCAGTTGCAATTCAAATCCTGGCACCTTCCCTGTTAGTAATGACACTTTGGGTAAGGGACCCTGCTCAGTTCCTGTTCACTAAAATGTAGAAAATAATTGTACCTGCTTTAAATACTGAAGTAAAGATTAGGTGAGATAAATCCTGGAAAGCATTCAGCAAAATGACTTTGAAAGGGGCTTATAGTAAGTAATCAATGGTAACTATTGTTATAATTTTCATGTATTTTATCCTCCCCAGGGGCCATTTCATTCTCATTTTTGTTTATGGCAAAATTTGAGGCCAAAGAAATGACTTGAGGATTTTATGCAGCCAGGACCAAGTCTTAAACTCTTGATTCTCAGCCTTCTGTTTTTCTACTCAATTCTGTTTTGACATTTGGCTCTGCCTTGGTCATAGCTGGGCTTGGTCATAGCTGAGGTGAACTGTGATCCTTCATCAGTGTGTTCTCTGTTTTCAGTTTTATTTCCTGTGCTGGTTGACAGGGTGGTCCATGTGCCATCAGAACTGTATCTCACGCTCACTGGCTTCTTTAGCAGTACCCAGTGGTGGAGTGAGAAGTAGAGTGTGATGCCTAGATCGCATTCTCTCTCTGTTCCTGGTGCCTGTGTGTGCTTGGCCACATCATTTAGCCTGTCTGAGCTTTAATTTTCTCTTATTAATTGGGGGCAGAAACTTCTGTCCCGTCTGAGAATATTAACCTACAAATTCTCTGTGATGATGAGGATCACTTCAATCAATAGTATAAATAGAAAGTGCTTTGATCAGTATGAAGCTAACTATATATATGAGATGCCTAAGTATGGTGTTAGAGCACTTGATTGCTTTATTGGCTGGAATATCCTCACTTGTTTCATTCTGTCTAGTGACTTTACCCCTACCTAAAGCATCTTTCTTCTCAGACGTTGGTCCTGGCTCATGCCTATCCATAGATTGAATGAGGAGCTTAGAAAACCGTTGTAAAAGATACCAAAGAGCTTTACCTCCCACCCTACTCCCTCCCCGCCCCCAAAATAGAAATCAGTACATCAAGTCACTCAGGGCAAAGCAGTCTGTAGACAGCAGATCCTGTTTTTGCATGTTTGTGACCTTAAGCATGTCATTTAACCTCTCTGGGTTTCAGATGGCTCAATGGCAGAGATGGTCTAGATATTCTCTGTGGTTCCTTATAACTTAAAAATATTGGTGGTATAGGTTGAAAATGCCAAAATGCTCTTTTGGCTTTGTAACTCTCATATGCATTTTGTTGTCCAGAAGTATCCAAGCCACGTAACCCAGGCTCTGACTTGGCTCATTTCATTTGAAAGAAGGCCAACTGCAATGGTTCAGGCAAGCCACATTCTATTTGGGGTTGACTCTGGAAGTCAAGGAATCTCTCTTTGGACCACAGCCTTGCTGTTGCTATTTACCAAGTAAGAGGAGTTAATTACAGAGAAAAATAAGTACCTCCACCCAAACCCTGCCAGATGTGCTCTTCTTGGCCAATAGTCCCAACTTACACTAAAATATTACTGAAGGCAGTATTAGTAAGTCTGTGAAGTGGAGAAATATAAGAGAAAAAAACTTCAATTTTTCAGCAGCCGTAGGTGATACAGCAACCCTGTACAGGCTTCTGGAGCAGGCATCTGGCAAGGCAATGTGATTGAAAGGTGTGATTAAATAGTAGCTATAAGTAACCCACCTCTCTTCCCCCAACTTGGCCAACTTGGTCTCCAGTATAATCTCCCGACTACTGTCATAGGGCTAAAGTAAGTTACACCTTCGGAACGAACATTAGGTCACTAGGTGGGGACATGAGAGGCCTCTGTTAATCTGTGGACATATTAACACTGAAATCCATTATTGGCTGTTAACACCTTACACTAATTTTTTGTGGGGCATGGGTCAGATGAGTCATAGATGGAGGAAGAATGGAGGCAAAGATCTACAACTCTAGGCATTGCTAAGGAGGGTGGGTATGAGTGATGGTGCGGGGATAGCCTCAGAGGAACAGGCATTTGCTAAGAGAGAAAGGGGGCTGATAGAGCAAGCCAAGAGCAATGTGGCTTCAGGGGAAGAAAGCCCATCCAGATGGCAGTCAGAGAAATAAGGAAAGGCTCCATGGGGAAGATGTTGCTTGAGCTGATCCTGAAGGTTTGGACAGAGAGAAATGAGATGCAGGGCAGTGAGGGAGTGGGGCATTCCATTCGTGGTCAGGGGAGCTGTACCCAATTTAAAGGTCTGTAATAATCTCCACAGGCATCTTTCTGTCAGAGGAGTTGTTGAGAGATTACCAAGTAAATGTCATTAAAGATTCTGGGTCCCAAAAAGAGAAGTCAGTCAGAATACCTTGTCCTAGAAAAGATGATTTAAAAAAATTTCATGAGAACAAATAATAAAATGTCTCCCCTTGGCTGAGGGCAGGAGGGGTGCTAAGAGACTATGAGGATGGTTCTAAGTCAAAAAGTTCCAGTCAGAAACATAAAAGATGACACTACGTGCTTGTCATTTTGGATATGATGGAAATCGAATGAAGAATCTATATTTCAGTGGGCATATTTTCTAAATAAATGTTTGTAAACAAATGTTCATTCATCTAGAATTAATTTACTATGGCCAACAGCCTCCTTGATATTCAAAATAACCAGCTTATCTTTTTGCATATACAAGTGACAGATGCTAGCAGGTGTAAAATATACATATGCAACACTCTCAACTCTAAAGGAATACATTTTTAAAAAAGAAAGGAATAAGATATGCTGGAATGATAGCAGGTTGCATCTGGGTAATAGAATTATGAGTCATACAGGTTATGGCAGTGAATGTACTTTTTAACGCTTCTCTGTCCTTGAAAATTTTTATCCAGTAATCATGTATTATTTTGATAGTCAGGAAAAAAATAATATTTAGAAGTTTGTAGGGGAAAATGTGTAATAGAAAAGTACTAACTTCCTTAACAAATTATTCCTTATTTGGCACTGACATATGGCCAAACCAGCTAAGGTTGGGTCAAAGTGAGATTAAGTTGCTCTGAGCCTAGTAGTGTGCCCTATGATGCTGTTTCTTCTCTCCCCGCCCCCCACCCCGCCCATTTTTGGCTCCATAGCAGCCAGCTGTGCGATTTACCTTTTTCTTTTTTTTTAAAATAGTTCACGGATCCTCGCTCTCCTTGGTTTCCAGCACGTCGTCAATTTATTCTACAGTAAGTATAAATCAATGCTAATGTAGCTCTGATCATGTGAGTTGGGGTTCCTTTATCAAATCTGTCAAGAATAAAATATAAGCATTTTTCTTAGAGTATTTCCATTAGAAGGGATCAGTTAATTAGGGAACAAGATTTGAAATTCACAAACAGCTATTGATTATAATGTACCAACCAATAAATCGGGAACTGGCTGAACTGGCTGCTTCGTTAAAGCGGTATTGCGCTGTACATGGGAACTAGTTAGAATGTGTGAGAAGCCTTGACTACCTGCTTGTCGAATCTGAAAGGAAAGGCCTTGAACAACTTATTAATCTTATGTCTGCCTCAGTTTCTTTATCTGTAAAGTAGAAAGAATAGCTGTCCCTACCTTGTGGAATTGTAATGAGGATTAAACGTCATGAAGGTTACGTTTTACTACAATATAAATTCCTTGAGAACAAGGACTTTTTTTCTGTTTTTATTCCTAGTGCCTAATAAGTGTTCAAAAATAGGTTTGCATAAAATAAGAAAATGCCTGTAAAGTAGTGAATACAGTGCACACAGCACAGAGCGAGCACTCATAAATGTTCCCTATCAATGAGAGTTTTACTGAACAAAAGCCAAATGTAACCAAATATGATACTGGATTTGTTCAGTGGTATTTACTTTTTATAGCTGTGTGTATAACTATTTGAGAATTCTTACAGGAAAAAAATATTTTGTTGATTGAGAATTGGAAATTCTTTCGCCCTTAATTCAGTTTTTGGTAATGCAGGTTTCTAACCTATATAGCAGGACAAACTATAAGTAAAAGGCCACCACAGGATCAAATTAAAGAGATCAGGGCCTGACTGTTCTTCCTTAGGCCTATAGCAAGCAAAGACTTCAGTGATTGTTGACATGGTCTGATTTGAAGGAGGCAGAAACAGTCTCTTCCACTCTTACCCAGCCTCACCCCTCCACCTCCAAAATACCTCTTTCCTCAGCCAGTCATCCTTTCTGAAATTTCATCACGGAGTCCTGGCTTTCGTTTTAAAGGCTTTATGTATAGTAACCTTGGGGAGGAGTTGTTTAAGCCGTTATCCGCTAAGAAAGCATAGTGATAGCCTTCTGTCAGCTACTGCATTATAGTTTTTGTTCTAGAATGAAACTCGGTCTACAGCCATGCCACCCTGAACAAGCCCGATCCCATCCGATCTTGGAAGCTAAGCGGGGTCAAGCCTGGTTAGTACTTGGATGGGAGACCACCTAGGAAGATCAAGAGCTGTAGGCATAAAAAAAAAAAAAATGAGGAATCGTAAGCTGACAAGGTCCTTGCAATCTGCGAGGTCAACCAAGGGTTGCCTGGAAATAAAAAGAAAAAAAAATAGAATGAAACTTGGTGATATGCGTATCAGAGATGGTACTTTCAAATCTAGATTCACTTCTTCAACAGTATTTACTAGCTCTAAGTATATGCCCAGGCTCTGGACTAAGTCCT